CTGTGTGTATCAGAGTATGTTTTGCAAGCCCCTTTCCCATTCCCGGGGCTTTAGAAAGCTGGCAAAGCTCTGCAAACTTTCAGCAGGAGTGCTGTGCAGGGCTGTGTAGGGGAGCTTGGCTGCCCTCATGGGTCAGGAGGGCTCATGCACCAGGGATCTGGAGCCTCAGGATCTTTACTTTCTTGTGGCTTTGTTCAGAGGCTTCTTCCCATGCTGTTGGATACATGACTCTCTTTTATTCCTTGTAACTGTTACACAATCCTTAATGTTGATAACTTGGAATGTGTGTGTGTGTGTGTGTGTGTGTGTGTGTGTGTGTGTGTGTGTATGTGTGTGTGTTCCAAAATGTTAAGGGTTCTAGAAATATGTTTGTAGTTTTTGATGTGCCGGCATGCTTGTGTGCATGTATGCATATGCATGTGTGGGTGAGGGTGCAAGTGGAGGCCAGAGGTTGATGCTGAGCGTCTTCTTCCATCTCTCTCCACCTTAGGTTTGAGACAGGGTCTGTTTCTAAACCTGGAGCTTGCTGGTTTGCCCAAGCGGGCTGGCCAGCATGCCTCTGGCATCCTCCTGCCTCTGGCTCTCCCTGCTGGGACTGTAAGAGCATGCTGCCCACCTGACTTTTTAGCATAGGTTCTGGAGGATGGAATTCAGGTCTGCATGCTTACACAGCAAGCTCTTTACTGACTGAGTTCTCTCTCTCTCTCTCTCTCTCTCTCTCTCTCTCTCTCTCTCTCTCTCTGTGTGTGTGTGTGTGATATATATATATATACATATACATACATACATATGTATTAATGTATGTATATGTATATTCTTGTCCAATTAAAATATCTACTCGGTCATATATTTTATTGAACATCTTGGTGACAGCTACTCTTAAGGCCTATGACCGCTCATGCTGAGTCATGTGGGAGTATGTTTCAGTTTGCTGCTCTTTGTTATGTCTGATAACATTTTATTAAATGTGGGATGCTGTCTGTATACAAACACTGAAGCTTTGATGAACTCAACCTTCATCTACTGGGAATATACAGTGGGAATGGATCACCTCCATCGCTCAAGCATGCAGCTGCCCCGTGGCTGGGCTCCAGTCTCTATGAAGCTACCTCACTTGGTTGGGGGAGTGAGTGGAAACTGAAGTCATCCCACAGCTCTGCTGCTTAAGGCCTTGTCTGCAGGACATCCAGGAGGTTTGGTTAGCTCTTTTTCTCCTTTCAAATCACACAGACATGTGCATGTGAGCTAGCGGCTCCTGTTTCCACCTCTTCCCATTGCTGTGTTTGAGAGGGGAAATGGAATTGGAAGTGGATGAGTCTCTTGTGACAGACAGCCTCTTTTGCACCCTGACTCCCTAAAAACCTGTAATGGCTTGTTTGTTTGTCTGAGACAACCTCATTCTGTAGCACGAGGCTGGCCTGGAACTCACTCATATAGCCTGAGAGGGTCTAAGACTTGTAACAGTCCTCTTGCCTTGGCCTGCCAAGTGTTGGAATTATGGGCATCAGCCACTGTGCCTGGTTCCACGGCCTGTAGTCTTGAAAGCCAAGCTTACACGGCAAAGCAACTGAAGAGCTCAGCAGCAGCCATTGGGAAGCCTGGAATGGGGTCCTGATGCAGTGAGCTCATGCTGGTAGATAGTGCTCAAACAACAACAGCATCATTAGTCTTAGGTATTGTTGTGGTCATGACGAATCTCACGTGGAGAAGGCTTGTTCCCCAACATCACAGAGCTCTGATGTGGGGCATCTGGGATGTGGTTGAATGGTGAGGGCCCGATCCTCAGATCGATCCACAGCCGGATCTATAGTTGATGGGCTCTGGTGAGATGGTAGAAACTCCAGGAAATTGAGGTTACTTGGCCTTTCCTTTTCTGTTTCCTGCTCTGCAGCAGTGCCTAGCTCTGTTCGGCCAGCCACACACTCCCAGCCATCACTCTGCTTTGACAGAGGCCCAAAGCCTTGGAGCCTTCATGGATGGAAACCTCTGAAGCTGCCATCCAAACCCTCCTTTCTAAGTTGATTCCTCTTGTGTGTTTTGTCATGGCAACGAAACATAACTAGTATAAATGATCAGATATCAAGGTGACTTAGGGCAGGACAGGAAATATATGCTACTCAAGTGTGACAGGCACATGCTCCAAAATTGTACACACATGTCAAGTGGACGCCAACTTTCTTGGTTTTAAGATAGTGGGGAGAAAGTGCATAGGGGATCTAGAAACTAACCGAAGGTTCTGTCGGTGTGGAAGCCCAGGCTGGTCATCAGTGTGATCCTTTGGGCCTGACTCACCATGGATGTAACCTGTTAAAATCAGGTCTCTGCCTCCATCACTTTCTCTGTAGACATTTAAGCCTAAAATATCAACAGAAAAAAAAATTAAGTGTCAAGGAGTGGAATTATAACAATGAGTTTAAAGATCTTAGCTGGCTTTCTTTTGAGTTCTAGAATCAAGCACTTCATTGCATAAAACAGGGTAAAAATATTCCAATGAGCCAATCAGAGGGGAGATTGGCTTTCTAGGGGAAAAGGGCCTGAAGAAAATAGAAATGAAACCCCAAGGCAGACTGGGCATTTCAAAGTTACTTTCCTTTACTCATGGGGACACCAGGCAGCCAACAGAAGGATGGCTAATTGACATCAGGCTACTTTCTGAATGTAAGGAGCAAGGCAGAAGGAACTTTAGCATCATGCTGCCTGAAACTGGCCTGTTTGGGAAATGTGCCTGATCGCTCTCTGTGCCCGACTTCTCCAGAGGGCAGAGAAGCAGTTTGTTTAGCTGGGGGAGCTTTGGTGTGAGTGAATCCATTTTGAGTTTTATCTTGGGGCCTGCTGTATGAGCTTACTCTAAGAAAGGGGGCTTTGGTAATTTTTATTCTATGTGTGTTCACGATGGAGGTGCAGCCGCATGAGGATGCCAGAGGTCGGCGCTGGGCGTCTCCACAACTGTTCTCTGCTTTTGTATTTGAGAGAGGATAATTTACTGGAACTGAGGCTCACCAGCTCAGCATAGACTGGCTGGCCAGCACAGCCCTGGACTCCTCATATCTCCACTTCCCTGCCAGTGGGATTACATGGGTGCTAGGGATCCAGACTCAGGTTCCCAGGCTTGAGTGGGAAATAGTTTATTGACTGAGCTGCCTCCCTAGCCCCAATTTTTATTTCTTAAAAGTAACGCTTACAGTGTTTTGTCTAAAAGGAGCACAGCTTGATTTGACCCGAAGTAGTATGAAACAACAACAAAAGGTATCGAAACCTGGGTTGCATTTCTCAACACTTAGTTCTAGGAGATCATTGGGTCCTATGTTGTTCATTGAGATAGGGTCTCTCTCTTAGCCCAGGCTGGACTGAAACTTACTAGGTAGCACATGTTGTCTATGAACCACCTGTAATCCTTTAAGAAATCTTTTGTAGGCAGTTTCTAACATGTGTCTTGCCACACTCATTAAAGTTTACCATTTCAGTCATCGTTGGTGAATTTCTGGTTAGAGGTACTAAAGCAGTAAAGAAAGAAATCAGACTGGGGAAGCAGCCTCCTGCAAGTGTCTGTTCTTCATTCAGTGTGTGGCTGTGCTCCAGCATCCTGTCCTCTGTCCTGCCTCAGTCTACCTGGGTACTGATGTAGAGGGTATCCATGTACTAGGTACTGATGTACTGGGTACTGATGTACAAGGTATCCATGTACAGAGTATCCATGTGCTGGGTACTGGTGTACAGGGTACTGATATACTGGGTACTGATATACAAGGTATCCATGTACAGGGTATCCATGTACTGGGTACTGGTGTACAGGGTACTGATGTACTAGGTACTGATGAATAGGGTATCCATGTACTGGGTACTGATGTACAGGGTATCCATGTACTAGGTACTGATGTACTGGGCACTGATGTACAAGTTATCCATGTACAGAGTATCCATGTGCTGGGTACTGATGTGCTGGGTACTGATGTACAGGGTATCCATGTACTGGGTACTGATGACTGATGTCCCTCCTTGCAGCAAAGCACATGCTCTGGTTCATCAGATTCTCTGTTTTGGTTTATTGACTCTCACCCGGGGTCTGTGGCTCTGGCATCTGGAATGGGAAAGGAAAATCTTCAAGGTCAGGAGTGTGACTCACTGTCTGCCCTGGCCACTGGTAAAAGTCATGGCACAGACTCAGTTCTGTAGAACTTGAGATTTCAGAAAACCTGAAACCCCTTTTCTTGGCCTGCATGCGGGATTTTGCAAGAGCTTCAAATGCTTACTGAGAAAGTCAAAGGCTTTCCTTACCTTGCTTTTTGCTGCCTGAGACAAAAGGCAGAAGATGCTATCCATTCTGGGGACACCCTCCAAGAGTCTCTGGACCCTCCAGAAGGATGTCTTACAGCATTAGCAGCCCTCAACACACGGACATAATTTTCAGAAACTAACACCCTGCACAGTCTGGCCAATCATACTTTCCTTTTCTCTGTGCATGCCTTATCTCTCCCTTTCCCATCCTTGCCGGGACTTCCACCCCAGCCCACCTGTCTACTCACCATTTGCCCTGCACTCCCGCTGGACAGGACAGCTTTTCAGACCTCCATTCTTCTTAGAATGCTATCCCTCTCTTGCCCCCTCTGCTGATGAGCACTTACTTTCCCTTTAAGGCTGGGCTCAAGTGTGGTTTACTGAGGAAAGCCCCTGGCCTTCCCCGAGGCTTTGCCACATGAAATCACTACTGGTTCTTTAAAAAGATATAGATGATATAGTTTTGTGCCCACTAAGGGACTCCTTCTACTAGGAGTGTGCCAATAGGAGGATAGAACATTGTCGGAGGTACCTTTGAGTCCCTGGCATCTAATACAGTCCCTGATGTGTAGGAAGCAGTCCACACATAGTGAATTCTTAAATAAAGAATCTTTGGGGCACCAGGAAAACCTAGACAGACCAATGAGGGGGAGGCAAAGATGAATTTGGTTTCCAGTTGATTATATTTGGGATACCAGGAGGACATTCAGATAAAGATGCTCCACTTCTCACTCAGCTCTGGCACCTCTGACTCTCCAGGTCTTCGGATGCCTCCTGTGTCTTGAACTGATCCTATGTGGATGTATTCCGGATGGGATCTGGATTCACTCGGCTTGCTTATGGCAGGACAGGGATAGCACATCGAAGTGGGATGGGGGATGAAGGAAGAGTTACTGTGGTGCTTAGAAAGAGAAACAACAGCAACCCTGCAGCACTCAGGCACCGGGGACGCCGTTCTCACCGTGGAGCAAGCACATTGTGGTTAGTGGGAATTTCAGGAGCAGAGCTGGAGCTGTGGTCATGGCTGTGGGAGAAGCTTCCAGAAAGAAGCTGGAGCCTTTGGGGAGCCACTGCCCACCTGGAGTCACACAGGAGAAAGCTGGAGAGAGAAGTATTCAAACTCAGCACCCTTTCCATTGGCCCAAACCAATGGGGAATCAGTGGGTAAGAGAGCCTGCTGTGCACCCTCTAGGATGTCAGCTTTGGGGAGTGTGGGACAGGCAGAAAAGGGCAGAGATGGGGTCGGGGCAAACTGAAACTAGCACAAACTGCCTGATTCCCACGGCCAGGGCTGTTTGCAGGCTTCCTGACATGTGCGTGATGCCATGCCAGACCCAACACTCCATTTGTTATCTTGCCCGGGATCGTTTTCAGTCCCACAATCTTGAAATATCTACCTGGAGATGTAACCAACCATCTTTATTAAATAAGAAACACAGAACCAATGCAAAGAAGAAAGCCAAGAGATCAGAGCTAAGAGCCTTATCCACCTGCTGCAGCTAGCCTCTTCAGCCAAGAGACCTCTCCGAAAGAGACCTACTTCCTGTCTGTATGTCTTCATATAGTCTTTCTGTTCTGCCTTCTCATTGGTTGTAAAACCAACCACATGACTGCCTCGTCACTGTCTGTTTTACAGCCCTCCAGGTCTTCTATGGTATTGAGATTAAAGGCATGTGTCTCCAACACTGGCTGTATCCTTGAACACACAGAGATCTACCTAGCTCTGCCTACCAAGTGCTGGAATTAAAGGCATGCGCCACCAACACCCAGCTTTTGCTATGGCTCTAATAGCTCTGACACCTGGGCAACTTTATTTATTAACATCTACCTGTAGCCAAAGGTATGTCTTCTGGCACAGGAAATGGCTGCCTACTGGGGGCGGTGGCTGAGATCATGGGAAAAGATTTATCTGGCCTCTGTCCCCTCTCCCCTGAATGCACCTAGACTCATCCTTGTTCCCATGCTTCTTGCCTCTCTTCAGCCCTCTGAGCCTCTCCCCTCATCCTTCAGACTCAAAAGGAGACTGTAGTTGTTTTTGCTCGCTAACACTTTCTATCAACTCACCCTCTCTATGGGGGTAAGCACAATTATAATTAGCCTGAAAAAGTCCTAAGCATGTCAGGTATTTCCTTGCCCGGGCATCACAATCCTAGGTAAAGTAGTTTATGGTTGCGGGTGCCCATTCTTCCACCTGCTCCCTGCTTAATGCTCTGAGTCTGGGCTCCTTCCACTTCATTGAAGTGCTATGTGAATGGTCTCCAGGGACAGCCAGTCAGCTCCTCTAAGACCTTTTCTCTGTCTGAGCCATGGATTCCTGGAGAGATGTAACTGTAAACACTGATTTTCTTTCCCCTCTTCACACCCTGGAGCCAGTGGACTTCTGGATCTCTGTGCATGCTTCCACAGCCCCTCTGCATGGATGTGGAGGGGCCTCTCTGAGACTGGACTCTCTGAGTTCAAACCCCGGCAGACTCTCCTTTGGTGTGCAATACCAAAGGTGGGCAGTCGCTTGATCCTAAGAAGCCTGTTGTGTGGCAGTGGAAATGGTTCCTGTTCCTTTAGGTTGCATGTGACATCCAGGGCCTGAGGACTGCAAAGCGCCTTGTGGGCTGCCTGGCTTGTAAGAAGACGTGCCCGGAGATAGCTGACAGTATCTTTATCTCTCTTCTCTTGCTGGTGATATGTTTCCCCCCTACGCATCGTTTCCTAGATGTTAGACATCTGTCACAGGCTTTCCCCCCCCCCCCAGCTAAATGTGTCCCTGTGACCCAAACCATCCTCCTCAACTATACGTTTGTAAACTTTGGGGCATCTTTAGGCAGTGAGGCCTGGTTCCAAAAGCATGTCAGTAGGGGCAGGCTTGTGAGGTTTCTCCCAGTCCTGGTTCCCAGTGTGCCTTTCGCCCCCTACAGGGTGTGAACAGCCTCTGCCCCAGGTTCCCACCTCCATGCTCTGGACTGCTCTTCCCTGCCCTCCCCACGAGGATGGATTAGAACCTTTTCTCTCCTAAGCTGCTGCTGTCAGGTGCTTTGTCCCAGCAACACAAGGCACCCAATAAACTGGCCGCAGTCTGTGCTTTCTGCTTTGCCAGATTTAATCACACCATCGACTCCTCCCAAACGTCCTCCACTGATTCACCCCCCTAAACTGCTTCTTCTTTGGGGTCCCACTCACTTGTTGCCTTTCCCATGAGGCCTCATGGGTTTCTCAGGTCAAAGGTGTTCCCTCTTCAGTGAAGACTCATAATCTTTTGCTCTTTCTTCGGGAACAATCTGTCTTTTGTATGTGTTTAGTTGTATGGTTTGTCTTCCTTACAAGGCATTGGAAGCCTGCTTAAGTAGCTTCAGGACCATGTATCCTAATCCATTTTCTGAGATTCAGTGGGAATGTCCTTTCAAAGTCTGCAGACGATCTCCAGAGAATACTGAACAGGGTTGACTTTGAGAATCCTGAAATAAAATAACATGGGAAAAGCAAAAGAATGCATGCATAGCATAGATTCCTTACATGTTTTTTAAAAATTTATTAATTTATTTTATGTACTGACTGAAGGCCCCCCCACTCCCTCTTTCCCCTCCCCTCCCCTCCCCTTCCCCAATCCATTCTTCCTCAGTAATTGCTCAAAAGGGGCAGGCCTCCAATGGGCATCAGCAACACATGGGATACCAAAGCTTCCATAAGACCGAGCACCTCCCCCTGTATTCAGGTTGGGCAAGGCAATCCAGTACTCAAGGATTAGGTACTCAAGAGCCAGCTGGGGAATCAGAAGCAGCTCCTGCTCCCTTTGCCAGGAGTCCTACAAATAGACCAAGCTATACAACTGACTCATACATGCAGAGGGCCCGGGTCAGTCCCATGCAGGCTCCCTGGTTGTTGGTTCAGACTCTGTGAGTTCCCATGAGCCAGGCTAACCATTTCTGTGGGTTTTTCTGTGATGTCCCTGACCCCCTTGGCTCTTGCAATCCCTCCTCCTTCTCAGCAGATCTGGAGCTTGGCCCAATGTTTGGCCTTGGGTCTCACAACAAAAGACGGGGGAGAAACACGTAGGAATCGGAGTGTCATGTCAGCCATAGTACAGCTTCTACGTCACAGAAGTGGGATGTTGAAGCAGATTAGGCTAAACAGGAGGAAGCACACCCAGTCCAGCCTGATGCTGGGAGGCCAGTCAACAATCCAGAGACTGTTGGCTTTGGCTCAGTAGGAAGGGAGAAGGGAAGAGAGGTGTTGGGACAGATATTGTAGTCAGCCTTTGGTAAACATGAGTTAAGGCATGGATTTGACAGAGTAAAAACAACCTCACAGGGATGGAGGAGATCAGCCAGTAAAGTGTCCGAAGGTGCACACTGATCCTGCATCCTTAAACTCACCATTATTTAACAGGAACAAACCGCACGTGGTTAAGCTGCCTACGTGACTTGTATACTGAGCACTCCTCACTCGGCTACTGTTTGTCGTGGTGGCAGATTTTCCCAGTGTTTTCGCTTCTGAGCTGTCAAAACATTGCCATGCTTCTCTTCCCACTTGCTATGTATGGTCTGAATGTAGTCTCCCCTCAACCCTCCCCCAATAAAACACCACTTGTTGACATTTAAGCCCCATTGTAAGGTATCAGGAGAGTGGAAACAATCTATGATGTTTACAGATGAGGCATTTGGAAGGCAATGTACATAAGGTCATCAGGCTAACTTCTTGGGAAGGATTTAGACCATAAGACACACCCACCCCTCTGTCTCTCATCATGTGATCCTTGTGCCACCCCAGGACTCTGCTTGCAAGAAGGGCATCACCAGTGCGGTACCCTGATCTTGGTTCTCCTGACTACCAGCCAAAGTTAAATGTTTTTCTTGTTTTGTTTTTGTTTTCTTGAGACAAGGTCTCACCATGTAACCTTGGCTGGCTAGAACACACCATGTAGACAAGGGGGGGCTTGAATTCCAGAGATCCTCCTGCCTCTAACCTCCCGAATGCCAGGATTAAAGACATGTGCCACCATGCCAGACTAAAACTTCTTTTCTTTATAATTCACCTCTTTACAGATTCAGCCTTCAGTGCTGCATGGCTAGCATCAGAAAATGGATGACTGTAGTCTCCCTTCCTCATTGTTACATCCCTGAACCATGATTCTTCTCTGTTTACCCCTGTACCATTTCTACAGGTCCATCCATGCTTATGGTTTCATGTCTACCTCAAATGTTGAGAACTTTCAAGTATACATTTCCGGGTTACAAACAACACATCCAGCCACCTAATTTCAATCTTCAAGACTCACTTGGCATACTAAGCTCATCTCATTGGCTTCTGGCACCAGCATGAGGCAGACTTGAGATCCCCACGCCCTAATTAGCATCAGTTTGCCACCCCACCCCACCCTTTCTGTGCTTATTTAGAACAGAGGCTGAGCATTTATAAGGAGAAGTATTGAGTAAGTTTTACACTAATCTCCAAGCTCAAGTTTTGTGTTTTATTTTCCTGACCAAATCAACTTGATCCCAAAGCTGGGTATCCTGTTCAGAGGAGCATAGCCCATCTTGTGTTGCTAGGACCCCATCCCCAGGGCCAACCAGGTGAGCTGTTGCTGCTATTAACCTGCCGGCAGGGAAGTCATGGCCTCATCACCTGTGGCTGAGAAGGGCTCCTTGCAGCATATATTAGTAGGAGTTTTGATGAAAGCACTCTTGTATTCATTCCCAGTGGTTTCTAGACATCTTATAGCTAAGCTCCCCTCGGGGAACTCTACACCCAGGCTAGCTGTTGCCTTTGGAGTCTCTTGCCTTTTGAACTGGCCACCTAAACAAGTGACTCCACAGACAGTTTCCCAAGCATTTTGCTTATTTATTTGCAATATGGGGAGTTGCTGCTGCTGCTGTTGTTTTTAGACAGTGTCTCAAGTAGCCTGGGCTGGCCTTGTACTCCCCACATGGCCAAGGATGACTTTGGATCCCCAAAGCCATCCTAACATCTTCTAATAATTAACTCAGATCCACTTCTTGATTTCTAAAATTTGTGAACATTTTAAGTTTCAAATAGTTTATCCTAGATTCTCTGAATTAGTATGCAAAGACTGATATCATTGTGTAATGATGATTTTCCTTCTTCCCACCCATTATATGTTGTTGATTTTTTTCCCCTAAAACCTAAACTGTTAAATGAAAAGAGTGATGGCAATAGTCTGTCACAGTTCCTTCTCTAAGGCAAATGCTTCTGATTTATCACTATGAGTGAAATCTGGTGTGTGTTTCTGGTGGAGGCCCCTTATCAAGTTAAGGAAGTTCCCATGCATTTTTTTAAAAAGAAAATCATAAATGTCATCTTTTATCAAATGTTTTTTTCTAAGTATGTTCAGATCACCACATTTTTCACACAGCTACTGTGAAGACCGATGGGCCTAGGTGCATGGAGGAGCTGTTCTGTGTCTTTCCCTACAGTGAGCTTGACTCAGTTTACTTCCAAGAAATGCATTATCTTTGTATTAGTAATGAAAGAACACCTCCTGTGTTTTCTTCATTGGAATAGTCTATAGATGACTGAGATCGCATATTTCTTAAAGGTTTGCTAGGATTCATTATAAAAGTAACTGGACCCATTGTTTGTTTATTGTAGATTGGGAGAGTAGATTT